TGTTCGATTCCACTAGGAAAACAATTGAACGAAGTAAATGCAATACAAGTCCGAGGTTTTGCTAAATCTGGCTAAAAAAAAACACATACAATTAAAGTGACAGTTGAACCGTGGAGAGGCGATGAATTCTGACAAGGGGGTATGTCAAGAATCATCCGTTTGCACGTATATTCCGGACACTTTTCCATACTTTTGCCGCACGACGCTGAAGAAGAAGTCTATCGCCTCGATCAGATCAAGGAGTTCGAGCAGATACCTCAGGATACCAAAGAGTGGCTCTTGGACATATTAGAACAAGGTAGAACTCTGGTAAAGTGTGAACAGATTTTGAAAATAGGAAAAGAATGATTTCTATACAGTTAAATTGAGTAGCAACGTATGTATTTTAGTGGAAATGTTTTTCTTGTGAGTACCCACCAGCGTATGAAACCGGCAATTTTTTATGACGTTTCAATGACAGAATAATATTTTGACGTCCTAAAATAGAGATTTTCCATCCATTGATGCCCTAACTGCATCTATTATAAAGAGTGTCATACAACTACCTGGGCGTTATGGTAGGCTAAAATTCGAAATCTCTGGTACTGATACCCTTCAACAGGAAGATCAAATTACTAAAGTGGACGGACATACTGACCTTCATCAGAAATCCACGGAGGTTCGAAAAGTAGAATTAGGAGAAGGAATAGTAGATATTATATGTTCACATGACGTGTGCAGCAGGGGTCGGCAAAAAAGGCTCACTGGGACCTACTTGCTAGGCGACCGCCTCCCGTTTCTCTACTAGATACTAGTATCGTATAGTATATAATAGGTAGAAATGAGGAATCGGCAATTTTGCACTTATCATGCGATGGTTTTTTTTCGAAAATTTTTTTTGGTACTTACGTATTTTTGTCTGAAAAACACGAATTTGATAATGAAAATGTGAACAAACCATTATTTATTGAGATATTTCACTATAAAGTTACAAATTTCACCATCTTTTCCGCCTGTCTTCTGGATCACATTTAGAACAATTTGCCCTTCTTTTTCCATCATTGAACAATTCATATATATCACACAATGTTGGACACATTTTTTTTTAATATATGAGTCAACTAAAAATATGTTTTTCTCGTGATTTATCCATGTTTAGTGAAAAGAAGGAAGAATATCATTTGAAATAGTGGCGTGTGTAATGTCATTCCAAAGCAATCTATTGACATTTGACATCTCGTATTTGGATTGCATATGGATTAAATGGCCGTCATCTGGTATGCTTGCTCACTAAATAGGAAAAACTCGCCATAAAAATCATATTTCCTGTTGAATTTTCTATCTTAAAATGTGTCATTGAACTACATCATGAGTATACCGGGTGTAACAGGATCATGGTACACCCCCCGTATCTCCGTTAGTTTCAGAGGTAATTGATTGAAATTTGGGATATTCCATATACATAATAAGAGGCACTTTTTGACCTACAAATGATTTTCTTTTCAATTCCGGTTTCGCCGGAAGTGATACCAACTTTCGATTTTCAAATGAAACACCCAGTATATTATTACATTTCTGAAATCTGCATAATTTTCTGAATCCAATGATACCACATTAGTGACATTTCAAACGTGAAAATGTTTAATATTTTAATTTTTAGTTCTCCATCAAAGTGTGCAATGATGGTTCAGAATTATTCCAATTGACCCGTCTAATGCTAGAAAAATTGAAATCCTCTCAAAAATACTAAATTGCGTTTTTTATGAGCAAATAATGTTCATCGTGATCGATTTTGGAGTAAAACTCAATTTTTTCAGATGGAACCATGTTGGTACCGTGGTACCATTTATTGGTACTATTAATGAGCAATTTATCCATACCTGCTAATAAAATGTGCGATAAATACAATCAAAATCACAGCTGAAAGAAAATAAGAAGATACAATTATTTTGGTCTAATTTAATGCTAAGAAAAAATTGGGGTGGCTTTGAATTACAAAAAAATTCTATCAGGATATCGGTCGGCATTAAGGTTTCTAGCCGCAACGGCATTTTTTCAACATTCCCAATAAATAATCAACATGTTTACTTTTTCCTCCCTTGCATGAATGTGCGGTATTTTGAACGTGAATAACAACAAATGTAAAGACTTTTCCAATACACAATGACATCACTGATAAACCACCGATAAACCAACATTCATTTGACAATCTGAAGGAATAATTTCATTGTTTTCAAAGCCACCTTAGCAATTTCTTAGCATTAAATTAGAACAAAATAATTGTATTTTCTTATTTTCTTTTAGCTGTGATTTTGATTGTATTTATCGCACATTTCATTAGCAGGTATGGATAAATTGCTTATTAATAGTACTAATAAATGGTACCACGGTACCAATATGGTTCCATTTGAAAAAATTGAGTTTTACCCGAAAATCGATTACGATGAACTTTATTTGCTCATAAAAAACGCAATTTTGTATTTTCGAGAGGATTTCGATTTTTCTAGCATTAGACGGGTCAATTGGAATAAATCGGAACCATCATGGCACACTTAAATGGAAAACGAAAAATAAAAATATTAAAAATTTTCACGTTTGAAATGTCACTTATGTGGTATCACTGGATTCAGAAAATTATGCAGATTTCAGAAATGTAATAATATACTGGGTGTTCCATTTGAAAATCGAAAGTTGGTATCAATTCCGGCGAAACCGGAAGTGGTAAAAAAATCATTTGTAGTTAAAAAAGTGCCTCTCATTATGTATATGGGATATCCCAAATTCCAATCAATTACCTCTGAAACTAACGGAGATACGGGGGGTGTACCATGATCCTGTTACACCCGGTATAGTGTCCAAATGACAAAATAAAAAGAGCAAGTACCTGTAAATGCATCCAACACAAGGGGGAAAAGAAGGCAAAATTTCGAACTTTTTCTTGAAATATCTCGATAAATAGTAGTTTGTACACATTTTCATTATCGAATTCGTGTTTTTCAGACAAAAATACGTAAGTTCCAAAAACAATTTTAGAAAAAAACCCATCGCATGATAAGTGCAAAATTACCCAGGAATCTATCCATAGGCGTATCCAGGGGGGGGGGCTGCCGGGCTGCAGCCCCCCCCCCATCACGGCAAGTCTTAGGAGGATAATTTATAATTTTTACATATTATAACCACTTCTGACGTACGACAATATTCATCACTTCTATATTCATCACTTCTCTATAACCTACGTAATAAACAAATTAACAGAACATTATTCGAAAATATTAATTTTATATATATGAGTGCGTATTGGCAACAGCGCCAGAATCGTTGCGACAGTCGGGACACATCGTGACTCGTGAGATGTCGCGTGAAGAAACTTGCGGAAGCGCAGGAAGGGCTGATGCTGCTAAACATACCGCGACATTACGATTTTAGTAGACGTAGGTATTTGCCGTTTTTTCCGCTGAACAAAGTATTAAAATGGAAAAAGCCCCTTCCAAGTGTAATAAGGTAAACAGGATTCCTCCATCTCACAAACAAAAAGCGAATAAGTGCAAACTCGCACCCCGATGCAAAAATTTTTGCCGTCCCGACGGCCGACAAAAGAGAATACCCGCGTAACGTTTCGGTATGTTTAGGATGAATTACGGACATAAATTGGGCGTGGCTCCGAAAAATGTTTTTAACCTGCGGCGCTTTTCTTTGGTCACCACTTTTTCTTAACCCAGCCCCCCCCAAACCAAAATCCTGTATACGCCAATGAATCTATCATTGGTGCCGAAACTGATATCCATGAGCTCGAAAGGATTTCCGGAAATGATTTGACCTCTAGTGGTATTACAAGTGAAAATTAGATTTCCTCCTGACTTTGAAAGGACTACCTATTTCTACCAATACTTATCATGAGTAAAATAAATCAGAAAAAAGTTTCGTCAAATGGTCTCAATTTGGTTTCAATCAAAACAAAATCAAAAGACCACACAACAGACCTACAGACTAAAGACTAGGAAGCAGAAAGCACATAAAGTTGAATTGAAAGAACCAGAACATATCGGATGATCTCGGTTTACGAGTGATGAATCAAATTTCTTTCTTTCCTCATATTTTTCAGTTTTTTTCTACCCTGGATTAATCTTATCATCAAATTTTGACTCCAAACCGTCTAAACAGACGAGACTATTTTGAATTCAAATGAAAAAAAAATAAGAATATTGTATGTTGCCTCTTCATGAGAATCTATACCGGGTGTCCTGGTTATCTTTGGTTAACTTTCTAATTTCAAAAAATTGTAGAAATTATGGAAGCAAAAGCTGAATAGGCGATATAAGGTAAGTGTAGCAAGTGATAACAGCCATTTCAAGGATATTTTTTCATAAATTTATTGAAATTATTTTAAATTTCCGAGGATGAATATCTTGCTGAATATCTAGTCCGATATATCACTAAATTGAGAATGACAGTGGGTGCAATTTGATAAACATAAGTGAGGGAAGGTTTCTAGTAGATTGTTTGACATGAGTGTGATTCGATTTCATTGTCTTGAAGAGCTTTTGCTTCCATATATTCGAGAATTTCTTGAATTTTTTTTTTGTATGTTAGATAACTCAGATATTATATGCTTGATTTCTTTATTTCTACCTATTCGAATCAAACTCCATCTTATTACATTCGTAAATATTCAAATATTTCCATCAGAAGTGTGACACCTTGATGAATATAGCAAACAAACAACAGCTATCAAAGACACTATTTATTACGCCAAACGTTTTCCGCCTTAGGTTTCCCATAATCAAGCACGATTACTAAATTATGTTAATTAAATTATTCTTGATGATCATTCACTTGTTTTATCTTGTCTTGGGAGTCAGGTTTAATGAATAGAACAAATGATGATCGAACAAAAACAAGACAGTCATGTAATAATTGAAGTTTCAATTATCATTCACATTCAAGATTCTCACAATAATTGTTAACCTATTTGAGCTCTACAAAGTCCTTGAATGATTATAACGAATCGTATTTTTTTACAGAAGAGGACGAATCCCAGATTTTCGTCAAGTTCTTCAAGTTTCACAAGTGCTACGATCTCATTCCCACGTCTGCAAAATTGGTCGTTTTCGATACCCAGCTGTTGGTCAAGAAAGCCTTCTTTGCTCTCGTCTACAATGGTATGTGTTCTAAACTTGACCAAATATATCTATCTATTGATTCTAAAGCTGCATCAGAAAACGGAAATTCAACCGTATTTTGGCATCACAAAATATCGAACTTTTGAAATTTAGAACCCTTCAGCTGCGAAAAAATTGATGCAAATTCTATGAAGAAGAAAAACCTGCACTCACATATTAGAGCAGTTTGCTCACTTATTACAACCTCACTTTTCTTATTTGTTCACAAAGGATTGAAATAGTTGTTCACAATCATTTCGGTATACGAATCATGTTTTTTGGCTATTCATTAATTCAAGCATGCCATATCACATTGTGCTGTTGTACAATGCACAATAAATGCAGCGAGAGACGAAGGAATCCGATTTTTCAGGTAGGTACATTGTGATCTATAAGTACTATACTCAATTCGTCACTCACATATAGTTTTCATTTTGATAATAGAAATACTCGTGAAGTACTGAAGTGTTTAAAAGAAGGCAAGAAGATTGGATTCAATCAATCAAATGGGAGAACTGATGGTCAGACATGCTGACGAAATATGATCGTGTGTGTTGTAGACATTTTCACTCTATCAGCAGTATTAGCTTCCATTGCAGAAGTGGCAGAAGAAATTCTTATGAGAAATGACAAAATTTCATAATGAAATCTATGTGAGATCACTAGTTACCTGAAAAGTCATATGCCTTGTCTCTCGCTGCATTTTTAATGCTTAAATGCTTAAATTAAAGAATAGCCCAAAAACACGATTCGCATGCCAAAATATTGTGAAAAACTATTTGAATACTTTGATTCCTTTGTGAACAAATAAGAAAAGTGAGGTCGTGCTCGCGACCTATAGCAAATCATCCACTGTTGCTAATTGCCAAAATGTCTTCATCATGGTGACGTCAAAGGTTGATGAATTAGTGAAACAATTTCTGACTCAAATTAGCAACAAGAAAAGTAAACGCCCTGTGAGTTTGAGGATATCATTTGAGATAGGATGACAGTGAGTAATCAGTAGAAAAACAAACAACATAGGAGTATGACAACTACTTAACAATCGCCTTGAATTCGAAAGCGTCAGTGATATTTATGACCTTCACCTCAATATCAGTTCACAAATTACTAAACCTTCAATCTGTGATCCGATAAAAGACTTAAAGTCTGTCATCAGCACTATCACTATCATTTCAGGAAGCAACAACTTGAAGGACATGTATTATATAATCATGTAGTATGCTTAGCCCTCAGTAAAGGGACTATGCCGAAACGGCCGCAATTTTCAAAATTCTAAGTCATTTTTCCCCAGATTCTACGGAAATTCTATGCTGCACGGCGGAAAGCCCCATAAGAGCCCATGTGTTAGAGAGAGACAGACGATGTGATTTTTCCCCAGATCTACGGACTTTTTCCATGAATTTTAAGGTCCATTCTGGTCATTTTTGGCGCTTTCAAGGTCATCCGTCTCCGACGAGTGAGAACTGCGATTCTGGTGCTGCAGACCTCTGAACGCTCTCAAATAGGATTTTTCGATGGGCCCTAACCTCAACTATGGCCATATAGTGAATATTATGCCAACTATAGGTTGTTGTATATTAAATGAAAGGTATCTGCTTGAAATTTACGAAAATCAACTTTTGAAGGGCCTCAAGGGCCATATAGTGAATATTATGCCAACTATAGGTTGTTGTATATCAAATGAAAGGTCTCTGCTTGAAATTTACGAAAATCAACTTTTGAAGGGCCTCAAGGGCCATATAGTGAATATTATGCCAACTATAGGTTGTTGTATATCAAATGAAAGGTCTCTGCTTGAATTTTACGAAAATCAACTTTTGAAGGGCCTCAAGGGCCATATAGTGAATATTATGCCAACTATAGGTTGTTGTATATCAAATGAAAGGTCTCTGCTTGAAATTTACGAAAATCAACTTTTGAAGGGCCTCAAGGGCCATATAGTGAATATTATTCCAACTATAGGTTGTTGTATATCAAATGAAAGGTCTCTGCTTGAAATTTACGAAAATCAATTTTTGAAGGGCATCAAGGGCCATATAGTGAATATTATGCCAACTATAGGTTGTTGTATATCAAATGAAAGGTCTCTGCTTGAAATTCACGAAAATCAACTTTTGAAGGGCCTCAAGGGCCATATAGTGAATATTATGCCAACTATAGGTTGTTGTATATCAAATGAAAGGTCTCTGCTTGAAATTTACGAAAATCAACTTTTGAAGGGCCTCAAGGGCCATATAGTGAATATTATTCCAACTATAGGTTGTTGTATATCAAATGAAAGGTCTCTGCTTGAAATTTACGAAAATCAATTTTTGAAGGGCATCAAGGGCCATATAGTGAATATTATGCCAACTATAGGTTGTTGTATATCAAATGAAAGGTCTCTGCTTGAAATTCACGAAAATCAACTTTTGAAGGGCCTCAAGGGCCATATAGTGAATATTATGCCAACTATAGGTTGTTGTATATCAAATGGAAGGTCTCTGCTTGAAATTTACGAAAATCATCTTTTGAAGGGCCTCAAGGGCCATATAGTGAATATTATGCCAACTATAGGTTGTTGTATATCAAATGAAAGGTATCTGCTTGAAATTTACGAAAATCAACTTTTGAAGGGCCTCAAGGGCCATATAGTGAATATTATGCCAACTATAGGTTGTTGTATATCAAATGAAAGGTCTCTGCTTGAAATTTACGAAAATCAACTTTTGAAGGGCCTCAAGGGCCATATAGTGAATATTATGCCAACTATAGGTTGTTGTATATCAAATGAAAGGTATCTGCTTGAAATTTACGAAAATCAACTTTTGAAGGGCCTCAAGGGCCATATAGTGAATATTATGCCAACTATAGGTTGTTGTATATCAAATGGAAGGTCTCTGCTTGAAATTTACGAAAATCAACTTTTGAAGGGCCTCAAGGGCCATATAGTGAATATTATGCCAACTATAGGTTGTTGTATATCAAATGAAAGGTCTCTGCTTGAAATTTACGAAAATCAACTTTTGAAGGGCCTCAAGGGCCATATAGTGAATATTATGCCAACTATAGGTTGTTGTATATCAAATGAAAGGTCTCTGCTTGAAATTTACGAAAATCAACTTTTGAAGGGCCTCAAGGGCCATATAGTGAATATTATGCCAACTATAGGTTGTTGTATATCAAATGAAAGGTCTCTGCTTGAAATTTACGAAAATCAACTTTTGAAGGGCCTCAAGGGCCATATAGTGAATATTATGCCAACTATAGGTTGTTGTATATCAAATGAAAGGTCTCTGCTTGAATTTTACGAAAATCAACTTTTGAAGGGCCTCAAGGGCCATATAGTGAATATTATGCCAACTATAGGTTGTTGTATATCAAATGAAAGGTCTCTGCTTGAAATTTACGAAAATCAACTTTTGAAGGGCCTCAAGGGCCATATAGTGAATATTATTCCAACTATAGGTTGTTGTATATTAAATGAAAGGTCTCTGCTTGAAATTTACGAAAATCAATTTTTGAAGGGCATCAAGGGCCATATAGTGAATATTATGCCAACTATAGGTTGTTGTATATCAAATGAAAGGTCTCTGCTTGAAATTCACGAAAAACAATTTTTGAAGGGTCCCCAAGGGCCGTATACTGAATATTATGCCAACTATAGGTTGTTGTATATCAAATGGAAGGTCTCTGCTTGAATTATACGAAAATTGATGTTCAAAGTGCTCCAACTGCCATATAAAATCGATTATATCACCTATAGGTTGTTTTATTTGTGACAAAAAACCATATCAGGAGGCAAACGTTCGAGATACCATACTATATATCACAAATGGGCATAAATCCTATAGTCGTTCAAACAGATGGAAGCGGCTACAGTCCTGCCACATATGCGAGGCAAATTGAAAAATCATGAAACATCAATGATCGTAGAGTATGAGTTGAATCTGAACAATCAAGTGCATCTATGGTAGATATCCCAAGGTGCATTACTGATGAATTACTAGGTTGCAACCTAGCAGAGTGTTGAAAATCGAAAGAACTAATTGCGAAAAAATATAGAAAATGTATTTTAATGCGGAGTACAGTTCACACCATCTTATATATGAAAAAAAATTCCATATATAGTGAACCATGGCGCAAACCATATCAAGAGGTAGACGTGTTCGCGATTATCTTCAGTCTCATCGAAAAAATCGCTTCAGGTTTGATGGAATTCAGTATAATTAGCAACATTATAGACGAATCAATACGAATAATGATGGTAATCGAGCGGCAATTGGTCATAAATGTCGTCGGTATGAAAAGTGAAAAACGCGAAAGTCATGGACAATCTACGTGCTTGCCAGAAAACATCATCTATGTGATAATTTGAAACTGGAGGAGCGTAGTTAAGGTTTGTTAATCTGTGGCGTAGTTGAAACTCCCTGCCTTTACAACACAGTGCTCTATATGCAAGATAACCTACGAATATAGATTTGATCTCATGCGATTCAACAGATGAAATAGTATCGACACCCATAAGATATCCTCATATTCATATTCCATAACTAGAAACCTATAGAAATCCATATGATAATAGAAACAATAGGTGATGAAATAATATCAACTCCTTCGATAATGGAACATCTCGGAAACTGATTTTGGTTTCAAAAATGTCTTCTTTCATAGTATATTTCTATCACTCTACATTCTTTTTATTAAATTAGATTATAAACATTATAGATATCTTCAAAATGATCCATATTTTGTTACAAAAACCTTTATATTATGTAAATATATGTACAGTATGATGCAAAGGTGTAGAATAAATTCCTCTGCAAGATTCAGTTAAACAAATAAGCAATCTTCTAATGCAAAATTTCGACTGTTGGATAGACGAAGCGTAGTTGAGGTTTGTTGATCTGTGGCGTAGTCGTAACTAGAAACCTATAGAAATTCATATGATAATAGAAACAATAGGTGATGAAATAATATCAGCTCCTTCGATAATGGAACATCTCGGAAACTAATTT